AATAGAATGGGTTGACAAATGATAATTGTAATATTCATTGAAATGTGTTTGAACTTAGTTACCAGGTCGGCTTCCACCTTCGCGCGTAAACTATAATACAATATGGAATTGCTACTCTTCCAGATAATTTCATTCAGTCAAGTCAATATTATTATTAGCAGTCACAATATCATGAAATGCGAAAACTGCTTGGCACATAAACCGACTTCATTTTAGACCAAAAATTTACATTAAGTGTTCTTATTCACCTTTCAAGAGGAGGTATGAATCTTTATTGGCAACTGAGTTCAACCATGTGGTCTTCCTCTCATTCAGCTGGAAAAACAGCGTACTCACCCACCAACAAACCTCTTCAATGCAACATAGAGTTTACAGGTGTTTTGTGTATTTCTGGCGATGTGACAATTGGGACCTTATTTGCAGATATCAGTCTGGGCACTGAAAGGGAATGAAAAGCAAAGGGCCTAACAGTGACCCGTGTGTAACGCCGAATTAATGGAACTTAAGACGTAGATGACGCATTATTTCAGATCACTATCTGGTGTGGTTGGTGCGGAAATCTGTTTTCTGTTATCCCGGCTGTCTAGATATGATCCAAGGCTGATGTGATAGACAGATTAAAACTTTCTGTTGAGATGGTTGTCCAAACGATGCTTTCCACCCGGACGATGAGTTTTGTAAGACACTTGTGTAGCAAATTTAAAACTGGTCTGTGTTACAATCTGAAAGTTTTCATTAGCAGCGGAAGTAAAAGCATATTTCAGGAGCCAATAGAGCTCATCAGTTTTAACTGATGTATTGATTATATTCATAAAAGGAATTCTTCGGGATAAGAATTGAGAAGCTAACTTGGTGAAAGAGGGTATGCGTATTATATTTATGGTCTTATTTCATTTCTTGTGCACTTTGCTGGCATACATTCACAAAGTGATTTCGGGTATTGCACCAGACGCAAGTTCATTCCTGTGCCTCGAATGTAGTCAAAGATTTTTTGTATTATTTCACCACAAGCAGGGGTATATTTACTAGATTCAGAAATAAAGGGCTGTATATACTGAAGCCAGAAATAAAGACTTGCAATAGGCAGATTTAACAATCCCTTTGCAATGAATCGTGACGAACACACAGGACCAGTTTTTGTCGGTGATAAAACGGGCATGTGCGTGTATATCTGAAATGAAATATATTCTGCACTCAATTCTTTTTTAATTATGTTTTTTTTTTAGAAAAACTACTTATCTAGTCTGTAGCCTACAGTCTTGCAACCAAATGCCTTACATATAATATATAAAGTCCCTTAGGCAAAGCAAACGATCATGTTTAGTGCTGTGTGATTTATTACCGCTCTAATTGGTCAGGAGTCAGAATTTCAGTTGGTTTCCTAACACAAGAGATTCTTTATTTTCAAAAAAGGGCGCGTACATAAGAAATCTTGGGTGACGACAATAACCGACTAGAAAGTTATGTCTAATGTGTAGCCAGTAGTAGGTTCGGACAAAAAAATCCGGCTAGGTTAGGAATCTTAAATGGTGGGGCTCAGAATCACAGACAACATGGAAATAAAACCAGAAATTGAAATTTTTCCTCGATATCACATATAATATTATGTGAGATAATCATAATATCAAATATCATATTTCCAAACATTAATCTAAAATATCCGTGCATTGAGATAAGATTGGTCAAATTTGGTATTGATATATATAGGCCGACTATGGAGCTTTCATCGTTCCTCCATAAACAATGCCACTGGGTATTAAAACTATCCATTGCAAACCTTAATATCTGTGACGTTTTCACAAATCTTAACAGTCAATGCAGCGATATTCTGGGGCGTACATATCGATTTTGTTTGGGGTTGGAGTGTCTTGTAAAAATGTGACCGACTGATGCACAGGCCCCTAAAACGAGTGACGCCGGCGCGGTCTTTCTAGAGAAATTTCCTGGACTTTCGGGGAAGATTTTGCAGAATTCTGATTGTCAGAAAACACTTATAACATGAGTAAAATTGAGTACTGCGGATGGGAATTGAGGCTATTTATTAAGAATTTTACAAGAACGTACAAAGTACTGTGAATCTGTGACAACTTATGAAAGCGATAATAATTACATGGATCTATATATACTCTTCAAAAATGTTGGGGATATTGAAAATGTGATATGATAAATAGTTATGGACACTTGACATGCTTTGAGAGTATGTTCACAGATGAAGAACTTACCGCCCCAGCAGAACCACTGAGCTGCATGTGCGACACACAATAGTGCCATACACTTGGGAGGGGTTCATTGTCAAATTTGACACTTTAAGGAAGGGTTGATGAAAACTGCCGCTTGCTGGTTTATCCTATCCATGTTTGCTTTCCTATCGGTTCTTGCATAAGGTTTACTGTTCAGCGTATCTTCGCTTTAGTGTGTTACGTTTAATTTGAACGGGAGACGTGTTCGTCGACGTTAACTGACAACACTGCAAGAATTGGCCGTCGCACTGCAAGAGGAGTGGGTCAGATTGCTCCAAATCGTGATTGGGCGGTTGATTAGGAGCATGCTACGACGAATTGCTGAATGTCTGAGGATTGGTGGAGCAATAACTCATTATTCAGACAAAAATCAAAAACGTCCATTTTCACTGTTTATGTTTATGTGTAGGCAATTGGCCTGTTATCAACATACACTGGTTACCTCTAATAAAATCAGCAGTGCATTTCCGCAGTTTTGTATTGTTTCTGAATATCCCCTACTTTTTTTGAAAAGTATATCTTTGATATATTGTTGTGAATATACATAAGTTAGCAAAGATATGACTATGTCCTGGGGCCACGATGGCTAAGTGGGTAAGACGCTGGGTCGCTAGCCTGGAGGTCGCGTGTTCGATCCCTGCATTGGCCGAGAAAGTTCATTGGGATTCCGACGTGGCTTACCCTTGTCAGTGGTGCAGGACGGAGGGTCTGCCAAGGACAACTGTCTAGTCGTACGGATGGGACGAATAACCGAGGTCCTCATTTCATCAAGCCACCACGCTTAGTCAAGTTTGACCACCGATCGGTAATTTTAAGATCGATCATTGAAACATCGTCTAGGGTTTTCTTATGGTTTTCTCTCAGATGGCTTGGGAACATGGTCTGTTCAGCCTCCAAGCCGTCCTCATCTTGTCGCATCGACCTTATAGTATCGCCTTATTTAACCGTAATGTCTTAAAACCTCCATACATGGAAACTACGTAAGCCTTTGACGCGTATTGTGATATCCTCAAAGCAATCATACGTATACACAGATATATTCATACATTTATTAAGTATTTGGGATTTTCACCTTCTATTTTGGCATTGTTTGTTTACCTCATTAATTCATTTAGTCGTCGATGCATAATTTTGTAACCGACTGCAGTGACTGCATATATTTTGTGACCGACTGCGGTGACTGAACTTATCTTGTCACCTAATAATCTCGGGGGAGGTGTGGGGGGGGGGGGGCATTTACGCGCCTCTCGATATAGAATCCCCCATACTACGAGCTTATAAGACTGTATAAGAAGGGTATAGTTTTAATCCAATTGAAGTCGTTCACCCATCTGCTGTATAGCCCAGCGGCGTTTTCAGAACGTAAATTTCGAACGCATTACTAACGCGTTCGAAATTTACGATCTGGATACGTTGAAATTAGATAGGATTCTTTGTTATGCCACAATAAGCTATCTGACCAAGATTATAAAATATATGTCGAGAAATCTGTCAACATAAACACTGGGGCCTAGACTAACTTTCGACAGACTGCGACCTAACGACCCATTAAATTATACGCGGCGACGGACGAGTGTGACAAATTCCACAATAAGGGCGGGACGATTTATCCAATACTACCCAATACCACCAAATACTAACTAAATACTACCAAATACTACTTCAATATAGTGAAAAACTAACAGATTTCTTCAATTATATAAAAACAAATTGAGTTAATTCGTGGAAAACTTGCAAAAATATACGGCAAATGTGAAAGCCAATGGTTTCTCGATGTTCCACTTATCTCCCTTGATCACCCAATACTAACAAATAACATACCCATACTATCAGAAATTTTACTTTTTCTTTTAAAATAATGGGGCAATATTTCCCCAAAATGAGACAAAACTACAATTATTTGAATAATAACACAGTCTGATTAAAACACAGATCTTATTTCCTTTCGTTTTTATAGTTTAAAATTTCGTTTTATTTGTCTGTACTACACTAGGGTTTGGAAAAGTTGTTATAATTATATAACATGCGTCCTGGATGCCGTGAGGTATTAGCCAATGAAACCATCTGTTACGGCGACTTCTTGGCGTGCCATGCACGGAACTGTGGGTAAACCACTAGAAAAGTCAGCGCGAATTGGTTAATCAGTGTCTAACTTCATAGGGTCAAAAGCCGCCCGTACGACCCCTGACGCGATCTTTCAGTAAAACTGGTCAGATCTTCATGTAGTGTAGGCCATCGAAAGTATAAAAAAAATGATACGAAATATAGATCTAGGCTATGTTTAGCCGTTTTATTTATCACCGATAGCCTGTCAGCGCTTATTAAAGGAATTAACTCGCTCAGATTGAAAGAATTCTGTCAGTTTTCGATAATAATAAGGTAGTATGTGGATAGAATTGAGAGATATTTGGTCATATTTGGTTAGCCTTTTACTTTGACGCTTTCAAGAGCTACCGGACCGGCCGGGTACAGATACTGATACTATAAATAGATTTTTCCAGTCTACGGTAAGAATTATAATGTCAAAGTATAAAAACTGTTAAATGCTTTGTGAGGATTAAATTTCCCTAAGACCGGGGTCTGCTTTAAAACACAAGGACAAACTATTTATTGCATATCAGAGCTTGAAATGTATAATATTTCACTCGGTATTCCGTGGCGGATTGATTTGAATGTTTACACCGAAAGGACAGAATGCTCCGGATGAAGAATTCTTCAAAATAAAGACGTAAAAATTATGGACACGTTGTAACTTCCGGATGTAAACACGATAAGACAAGTGAAAGTTTTCAATTTAAAATGTAATGTGTTACTTTTAAAAATAAATAATAACGCTATCCAAAGACAATTAACAGTAGGAATAGTGCAGATTTAATCTACTGCACGATGGCCGTAAGTTTGCAATTTTATTTTTGAAAGCATTATTTATTTACTCACTGACAGTGACACTGTGAAGTCTGTCTTCATCACGCAGAACTGTGAACATGTCATATAATATAGAATTTACAAAAACGTTGAGATAAATCACCAGAGGGGAAAGGGGCGTTGGCATGGGGGGGGGGGCGAGGGGTGTCAACGGGACCAAAGAAGCTCTACCGTCTCACAGTCACAGTTGAGTGTCTGTTCCAGGTGATACTCCGACTCGAAAATTGCTTGTCATTTCTTCATTTTTTAATTAAAATGCCTACAACTTTGTGGCATACCTGGAATTTTCATCCCTTTGAATATTGATTTCTGACCTTTATATAACATTTGAGCCTAAAGAAAGATCTGCAATAGACATACCTAATCCTTAAATAATGTCTCTTAAAAGACACTGTTAGTACAGGTAGGTATAAATTATAACAATAACAAACGAAAATCCATAATTGATTTTGAATTTTTGACATTTTCGGGAAATAGGCAATTTTGTGGGAATCACTTTTCAAGTTTTTATGCCCATAAAAGAATAAATGGTTGTTCGATTGTCATAAAAATTTGCACCATTGTGTGAATATTCCTTAGATGTAACCAATTGGTCACTGAAAATGATGTCATTGTGGCAAAAAATATATACATATATACATCAAAAGATAGTTTCAAACTTGATCATTGTCAAGAAATAGGCAATCGTTCAAGAGTAACCTTTTACATTGTTTTGCCCACAACACATTTATTAATAGTTTAATAGACATTTTACCATTTGATACCCGATACAAACCGCCATTAAATCCAATCAATCCAAAATTTCCAGTATTCTGGAAGTGACGCGATTTCGAAAAAAGAAACTTTTTTAAAATTTTATTTCCTTTAAAACAAATATTTTTTCTAAAGATTGTTATTCGTTACCCATTACTATTACTATTTACTAACTTCCTTTAGCTAATAGTATGTAGATATCCGACCATGTTCGTATCATAAAATAATTTTTAACTTTGTCCTTTGCCGAGAAATAGACTAATTGTATGTAAATATACGATCAGGCAGATATCACAGAATAATCTCTAACTTTATCCATTGCCGAGAGATGGCCGATTTATCATTAGTCACTTTGTAAGGTTTTCACACTTCGATATGAATTGATAAATGGCTATTTTGCGTCCATTTTTTAACATGTATGGGAATCTGTTAAAATGTATCATTAGTTCGGTAAGTGATGTCTGCTAAAGGGTGCAGGCACAAGGGAAACTCATCATCACAGTTCTAGTTTTTGATTTGTGTCAGAGCTGTTTCTAAAGGCAAAATAAATATGCATGTTTACAACAGCACTATTTTTTGGTTAACAGTATTTTAATATTCCTCACTGTTCGTTACATCATTGATATTTACCAAAATTAGATAAATTTTATCTGACCAGTTAGAGACCATGACCAGTACATAATCAACTCTCTAGCGCATCGGATGGTCACGATTTTTAATGGAGTGAATACGATCACCATTTAATAATCAAATTTAAAAATGGATAATCAAGACTTTGTTTATTATCGTAAAAATGGTAGCAATGGAAATCAAGACAGCACTTTTCTTATCAAAACTTCCAACATTTATAACTTTGCTCAGAATTATGTAATTGGACTGAAGGGTTAATATATTCCTTTTTCATTATCTAATTTTAAACTCTTATATTTAAACTGTTAGCTCATTATCTAAATCTTACATAATGCATTTTTGTCCCCCGCCTTTTGAAGAAAGCAGGGGACTATTAAAATGGGTTCATCCGTCTGTCTGTCCGTCATACTTTTTGGTACACAATAACTCTATTTCTAATTGATCTAGAATGTTCAAACTTGGTGTAGGTGTTTATTGGGTCAATGCCTTGATGGAGTTCGAAGATGGGCATTATCTGCTTAGGGTAAGCAGAGATAAGCAATTTGATTGGTTGGTGCTTTGGGACACGATAACTTTAGTTCTAATTAAGTGAGAGTGATGAAACTTGGTGTATAGTTTCATTACATCAATACCTTGACTACGTTCGATAATGAGCATTTTCTGCTCAGGGTAAGCAGAGCAATAAGCAATTTGATTGGTCGAGATGTTGGAACACAATAACTCTCATTCTAATTAATGTAGAATGTTCAAACTTGGTGTAGGCTTTCATTAGATGAATGCCTTGATGGAGTTCGATGATGAACAATGTATGCTTACAGTAAGCAGAGATAAGCAATCTGATTGGTTGATGCTTTGGGGCTTGATAACTTTGGATATAATGAAGTGAGAGCGATGAAACTCTGAATATAGATTCATTACATCATTACCTTTGTCTAAGTACAATGGTGAGAATGTTCTGCTTAGGCTAAAGAGTGATAAGCAATTTGATTGGTCAAGACTTTGGAACATAACAACTCTGCTTTTAATTTAGGTAGAATGTTTAAACATGATGTAGATGTTCATTAGGTGAATGTCTTCACTGAGTTCAATGATTAACATTTCGAGCTGAAGCTAAGCAGAGCTAATCAATTTCATTGGTCAATGCTTTTGGACAAGATAATCTTGATTCTATTTGATAGAGAGCAATGAAACTTAGTGTATAGTTTGATTGTTCAATACTTTTGAAAAAAATAAATGTGCTATTAATTAATATGGGTCATCTTTTTATTTTGGGAGCTTAGGCTCTTCCCAGATAACTAAGCCAAACATGGCTGTTTTCAGTACCAAGATGTCAAAACAACATGATTTTTCAAGGGAGAAAACCTATATAGCTTGATCTGAACTTAGTTCTCACAAGACAGAAAGCAATGGGATGACCATTCTAGGTATTTCACACAGTTTTAACCATTTTAATTAAAAATTAAAGGAATGGCAAGCAATTTTTGAGTCTTAGTATCACCCGCAACAGACTGTAAGTGTAGCAATGCAAAAAATATTTTTTATAAATTTGAATTAAACTAAAACTGGGCGCTAATGCACTTTTATACACCTAGTACTTTCCGTGGTTGTAGAGTCACTAGAGACTTGGAATTTGCTGAGGGTGTTCAGGGTGTCTAATTGTGATATCACACCAAATTTCAGGCGAATCGGTCAGTAACTTTTCTTGAACAGTTTGAATGCGTACCTTGGTGCTCTCTATAACATTTTAATACATGAGACCATAATATAGTACCTACATAGCCTTTGTAATATATGAGACCATATGTCGCTAATGCACTTTCATACACCTAGTACTTCCTGTGATCGTAGAGACCATGATATAGCACCTTGATGGTCCCTTTAACAGTTTTAATTATATGCGACCATCTAATGCACTTTCGTACAGCTAGTACTTCCCTTGATCGCAGAGACTTGAAATTGGCTGAGGGTGTACAGGGTCATTAATTATGAACTCACACCAAATTTCAGACAAATAGGTCAATAACTTTTGATTTAACAGTTTGAAGGCGTACCTTGGTTGTCTCTATAACATTTTTAATGCCCGAAAAAGGGTCTTCATTAGCCCTACCTAGGCAGAAAAGCAGGACGTTAAACCCCATTTCATTTCATTCCCAAAAAAATTTCAAGTTGTAGGTGTCGGCGCCGGTCGTCTGCTAGAGATGAAGGAGCAAAGCCCATCGTGTAATTAAAGCTGCTAATGACATCACTAAGTACCTGTGTATTATACGATATGGTCTCAAGCATTAAAACTGTTAAAAGGAACATCATAGAGTCTTGTGTATCATACGGTATGGTTTCGTTCATCAAAACTGATAAAGACGTCACCAAGTCTTGTGTATTATACGATATGGTTTTATATGATTAAAACGGTTAAAAATGATCATGTGTATTGTATGACTTGGTCTCACATAATTAAAAATTAAAACTGTTAAAAAGACCATCAAGATGCTATATGGTCTCATGCATTAAAAATGTTAAAGAGACCACCAAGGTACGATGTGGTCTCGTTCATAAGAATTGATAAAGAGACCATTGGGATAAGGTACCACATTGTCTCATGCATTAAAAATGTTAAAGAGGCCACCAAGGTACGCATTCAAACTGTTAAAGAAAATTTGTGTAAAATCAAAAGTTATTGACCTATTTGTCTCAAATTTTGTGTGAGTTCATAATTAGTGACCCTGAACACACTCGGCAAATTTCAAGTCTCTACGATCACAGGAAATACTAGGTGTACAACCATTCACTGTCTATTGGAATTTTCAAATTTGGGTTACATAATATTTGTCTACAACATCCAAATATAAAACAAAATTGGTTATCAAAGACAGATATAATTCACATATGGAATTAGTCCTTAATGCATAACGGAAATGATGTATAATTTTCTACACTAATAGACTTTCCAGGCCTTCACGTCGCTCTCACGCTCCACCACTCACCTAAATCCCAATATAGGTGTGTATTTGAGTGCCCTACTCAATTCTCCGTAACCCCTCTCCGAACTGCGTATTTTATTTCCAAAAAAGTTGTCAGAAATTTGTTCATGTTTACTTCGTATTTACTTCCCAATTTCCCATTAATTAGGTATGTACCGATGTCAATACACAATATTTTAATTGGTTATCATTTTCTTTCGTAAGAATTGGTCACGTACAATGTAGGTGGTCGTCATCATGCTATTTTAATAATAATTTCGAACCCAAAGAAACATTCACTGAGCAACTAAATGTGCCAAACACACTAACAGTCCAACAGCTACCAAACCCAAAAGCACTCCCAATTATTAGCTATTAATAAACACCAGTTAACAATCCATAACTTTTGCCAGGACTCCCTTTTTGAAATTCTCGGCGATAACGGCATTATCCCATGGTTTCTCATGAAAATACTAAGCTTTGATTACCATATAATGCACCAAGAGTCTGAATACGCATTTCATACTACAAAAATAGTAATATGGTTAATTTTGGTGCCAAAACTTAAAACGTGGGCGAATAACAAACAAGAACTGATATTACGTGGATTTCGATTGCCATGCCTTT